CTGAAGGGGGCAGAAGACCTGATGACAAAGAATGTGGGAAAGGCCAAGTACCAAATGTCTTTGTTACTTTATTTAGTGGTCAAACCAACCTTCAGGAATCTCAGGTTCCTACGACTAGGGGGAGAGTCTAGGACAAAGAAGGTTCACTATGGATGGAGAAGGATCAGGTTAAGGAACATTCAAATACACAAGCCATCTTCAAGTCCCTATAGGATACATCCGGAGAAAGTGTGTTAGTTTGCTTAATGTCACTAGAGGCCACTCTCAATTACCTTCAAAAGATCATGGCAAGTGGAGAAGGTCCCTGAGGACTGAAAGAAAGTCTTGTCTTCAAGAAGTGCAGGAAGAAGGATCTGGGGAATTAAAAACTGCTTAACCACACCTCTGTTCCTGGGAGAGGTGGTGGGGCAAATCAGCTGCAAATTATTTCCAAATGTGTCAGGGATAAGCAAATGGTTGGGAGTGGTCAGTATGGATTTATGATGAGGGGAAACTCGGTTCATAAAGTTCAGTAAATCCAGTTCTGCACCTGGGCAGGAATAGCTTCAGGCACCACAACAGGCTAAGCACCAACTGGCTGAAGACTAGTTTGGCAGAAAAAGATTTGGTGTCTTGGTGGTCATCAAATAGGCCTTAAACCAGCAAGATGTCCTTGCCAATGGCAAGGCCAATGGCCCCATGGGCTGTGTGAGGAGAAGTGCTGCCAGAAGATTGAGGGGGCTGATCCTTTCCTGCTCCTCAGCCCTGGTAACACATACCTGGGTCCATCCAGTGTCTAGCTCTGAGTCTCCCAGTCCAAAAGAGATGAGGACATACTGGAGAGAGTGCCACAAAGAGCCACAAAGATGATGAAACAATTAGAACGTGTAATTCTAGGAGAGGCTGAGACTATTCTGTCTAGACAAGAGAAGGCTTGGGGGCCATAACTATGCATAAATACTTCATAGGTATTTATTTATTGCAGAATTTTTCCCAGTAGTATTGTGCCATGGAAGGACAAGAGGCAATGGACAAAATCTGATATTCAGGAAGTCTGACTTAAACATAAGAAAAAGCATCTTTAGTGATTAAACACTAGAAGAGATTATTCAGAGAGATTCTGGAGTCTTCATCCTTGCCCATACTCCAGTGTTAGGAAAACTGCTTGCTCTATATGATCCTGCTCTGAGCAGAGGGATGAATCAGACAATTTCCAGAGCTCCTTGCCACTATCAACTATCCCTCAACTCTGGGAAGGTTTAGCCAGCATGCAGCACCCTTGTAAAACTTGTACAGCAGGACAATGCAGTTCTCACTACATCAGTGTTCCCTTCCTAGACAAACCAGAAACCTATGGCATTACCTGGCTGGCTGGCTACGGAATCACATGTGCCATCACTTACACTGGCTTAGCACCCAGATCCTGAACGTCACACTCCAGAATGCAGGGAAATTAGAAATGCATACAGAAGGAAGACTGCTGGTGAAAGATTATAGCTGGCTTTGCTTCACACTTTCCACCACTGGCAAAAGGGAGTAGGCCTGGCTCGTAACCCTGGTGCCTACATACATAAAGGCCTGTCCACAATTAAGATAAATCTTTACTGAACATAGTGGAATGCTGCTCACATTGCCAGCGCTCTCTCCCCATGCTTTCCTCTAATTCCCCCAAAGAGACTTTGGCTTGGAACTTTCCTTGTTGTGCTCTGGCCAGAAGGAAAGTGTTTTGAATATTTTCAGAAAAATCTGCCGGTTTTCAGTTCTCCACTTTGGTGCAAATTACTTTCAAAGAAAAATAGTTCCAGAAATTAGCTCTGACTGTGAAGCATTTTTGACCAAACATAGGGAGAGTTTGCCTGATTGATTTTAAGAAAGGCATAAAATGTACTGAATCTAATGATTATGGCCCAAATAAAAACACATAATTTGATGTAAGAAGTTAACATCTATAGCAATGCAGCTATATGAAGACCTGAAAAGGGAGGAGACTTCTTTACCACAATATATTACACATATATAAATCCCATCAACCCAGTTATAATATAAAATAAATCAGTATTTTCTGATTTTCCGCCATTTAAATAAAAATACCAAGAGTAGTTTAAATAACAAGAGAAGGTATATGTAATACCACAGTCACCCACAAACCATGATCTTGCTTGCATATAATTGATGATAAAAGTTGTTTTTTCAATGGTGTTTTGTTAATTGAAAGACTGGACTTTCCTTACAAAAAACCTATCTGTTTTAAAAATAAATACAGGGTGAAAAAAATCTGTAAAGAAAACAACTGAAACTCTTCTCTCCCCTTCTAACTAGGCGACCCTTAAATATCCTACCACCATTTTAATACAACCTTGTCCTGCAGTTTATAAGCTACTGCTAGGCGATACTTTCTTCACTGGTGTCAGAAGGGGGCAAACCACCAAGACACCATGATTTATTTCCATTCCTATAACCTTTTTTTTTTTGCTTCTCTTTTCCTACTACTCATTCTAACCTGCCTTGTATGAGCACTTTTCTGGAACCTTTTCACAGTAATTAGCAGCAGTACAACTACAAGGAATGCTTAAAACTGATCATGAGATATTTGTTCATCTTCACTGCTTGCTGGCATAAAAATAACTCTTCTACATAATTATCTATCACATACAGCAATCTGCATAAGCAAATGGCTGAATTAGCTTCCTAGAAAACAATGAAAGACTGCATTCATAATTGCAATATGCACTCAGGAAACCTCAGAAATCTGTAAAAATTGATCTGTTTTCTGCAATATATCCTGTGATGCTATTTCTCATTTAGATGTTTAATAAGAAACAAATGAAACAAACAAAACAAACAAACAAATGAGCAAAAACCCACCAAGAAACCACATGCAGTCAAACAAGGGTGTAATCAAGAATTGTGCTGCTAAACGTGGGAGGCTGCCACTATCCTCTGAACAGAACTATTTGGAAGAGCAGATGAGAACAGAGTACAGACTGGTATCAAAGCCAGAGAGTAATCAGAGACAATTTCAAAATGGGTCCAAAGCCCCCAGAGAAGAAAAAGAAGCTGTCTGGGTTCAAAAGTATGATGGAAAAGCATGAGAAGAGCCCACCGTGTGCTTGGACATCAAGCCATGTGCACATAAGCCAAAGATCAAGGATGTTCATTTAGGCACAAGGTTCCTGGGAGCGCTGCAGTATAGAAATGTTGGCAATCAGGACACAGAAAAGGGGGAAATGGAAAAATAAAAGGAAAAGAAAAAAGAAAAGCAAGATTCAAGTAAGCCTGGGAAAGGATTTTAGTACTGTCATGAAAGCTGAGAACAAGAAAGCTGAGAAATTAAGAAGGACAGGGATCTGTACTGGTCCTGCAGTGCTTCTGGGTTCTGGGGCAGTGCTGTGCACACCCCTGACAGTGAAGACACTCTGGGGCAGAATGGCAGGAACATATAGAAATTGATGGGAGGGGAAACAAATGACGCAAAACCGTCTAAAGACGTGTGATTTGTAGGTGCTGGGATTCAGAGTGTGCAAGGATGGGAAGAAGCTCTCTCCTCTGAAAGGCTCTTGCTCTTGGGACATGTCAGAGCAACACATATGTCTGCCTACATGGGCTGCTCATCACTCAAGCTGTGAGGCAGCAACCAAAGCCCAAATATCTACAACTGGCCTCCTGACAGAAGCGTAGCCACCTGCAACAGATGCAACTTGGACTTGGGGCTGGTGCATGCTTTTGTCAGAAACAGGTTCAAATGCAGTTAGAACTTCAGCAGTGGAGTGCAGCAACGTCCTGGTCTTAGCCTACAGAAAGACAACCAGGGCCTGCTTCACTGTTTTTTGTGACAGCAAGTTGCACAGAGCAGTGATACTGTAGGAAGACTGCAGATTACAATCCTCACACACATCTGAACAAACAAGGGCAGCCACCTTTCCTGACGTTCTGGCTCTCATGCATATGGCCCTTGTTATGCTAAATTTGTAACCACAACTCCCTGTTGCAAGTACAGAAATTCTCACAAACTCTGAATACAAATGCTTTTAGTGTTTAAGTAATATTTTCCTTGCCTTGTCTAGAGCTTTCATCCTCACAAAAGCAATATGCATTGAGACTAGAAAACCACACATAGATGCTGACACCAGTCTCAGTTTTCCCCCTTTCCCAAAGGCCATATGGCTCATGGTGGAGGGGATGTGATACTTCTCTGGGAATTAGCACCTATCTTTTTTAACACTGATCCTAACTTCTTCCTTTCTGTGGAGCCAGAATAAAGGATGGGGGTCATGGCAAAACAATCGTGTTCATACCCTCCACTAGTCAGAAGTGTAGGTGCTAACCTTATTGAGTTGGATATGCTTCTGGATGTGCCTGTAGAGTCCTGCTGACTGCAAGGAGGCAGAAAATGGAGTATATTTTCCCCAACTGGGCCTATTGTGCTGCTCCAATATAGGAGGAGACACAACTTCCTTGTGGAAGTGCAGTGAAAGAGTCAAGGAAGGTGCAGGAAGAAGAGAAAGGTGAAATTGTGTCTTGCTTATTCCTTTGCATTTATTGAGTCCCTTAGATTCATACAATTTGGCATATTCTTCTTTTGAACATGTCCTTGAAAGGTTAATTCAAGCACTGGTGCAGCCTCAGATGTGCTGCCTTTCATCTCAGCTCCCTATTGCTCCTATCATCTTGCATTGGTTGTCCAGACAATAAACACATGTGTGTGTCAATAACCTGCTCCTCCTGTGGATGCACTGTAGTTGACTCAGTATCTTTGCCTCTGCATACAGCAAATATGTCTGCAATTAACAGATATTGCAGTAAGCACATGCACTGTGAGCTTTTTGCACACTGAAGAAAAACAGTCTCCGACACTGAAAAGGTTTTCCTACTAGGGTACAACTATCAGGGGAAAGCTGAGTTCTGTGTCCACCACAGTAAAAATAATTCTTGCCTCTTTAAACCGAGGCAAGAATTTGCAAAATCCTTCTAAATGACATGGAAAAGATGAGTTCAGGTTGAATGGCACCACAGTCACATACCAGCTCCAAATGCAAAGAAGAAACTCTTGTCTGGGTGCTCTTCTAGCAGGTCCTTCACCCTCCTGCCCATTCTCTCATTGCGTTTGTAGATGAGCTCCTGCCGGAAGTAGCTGTCTATTTCTTGGGCAGTAATGCGTTCATGGGCTGGAAGTGTAGCATTAATGAAATTTGGGACCTAAGGTAGAAAAAAAAAATCTTCACGAAAGGGGAATTTATTTCACAGGCAACCATTATGCACGGGCATTTTTGCTCCACACAGAGTGCAGCAACTGCCTCATCCCTCAGGGCATAGCCAGTAGGACAAAACCCAAAGCAAGCTAAAAAATACTTAGAAAACTTCTAATGATGCATGGTGCCTCATTTCTCTCAATGCATCATTTCATAAGCTAGCCAGATGGATTTTTTTTTTTAATTCAAAGTCAACAAATGTTATCATTTTGCCACGTTGAAGACCCTAAATCCTGACTGATCATTTGAAGAAAGTATTTGCCCCTAACTGTCTTTAGCTACATACCTCTTTCTCAAATTGCCACAGGTATACCATAACTATAATGATAATTATGCTCTTCTAAGAGAATTCACCTTGTATCAGAGCCCTCAGGCAGCCAAAGAATAACTGTGCAATTTGAAGTAGTTAAAAAAAAATCTCAAACTTTAAGAGGGCCAGATTTTCTCAAGAAAGAACGTGTTGCCACCTCCAGTTGCCCTGTCCTGACAGTATCTTATAAAATGCTGGCTTCCTCCCCTGGGGCCCCCAAGGACAGCTGTGGCTGCACACTACCCTGACCTCTCGCCAGTGGAGAGAAAACCTGGGTCTGCTATTGTTGCAGCAGTCCTGGCTTCTTGACAAGTAGCTTTAGGCATTCAGTTATGGGGACAGTTAACTAAAGGGCCTGCAAGCGGTGATTTCTGGAGAGCAGACCCACTGATAAGCCAGGTGCTTTCCCTTGCAAGTCTGTAGCAGATGCAGAGACTTTGGATTCCCCCAGAGACTATTACAGAATCTTTCCAAAAAGGAGTTAGCCCCGAGGTAGTCATCTACTAGGCAAGCATGGAGTCAGATACAACTTACTGAGAAGTTCTGCTTAAAAGATAAACTGACAGTGTGGCAAACGATCAGTATTCAGCTCTGCTGCCAAGAAGAGTACCCTGAGGTGGAGCCCCTCACATTAAGTACAGTTTTTTCCCTTGACAACATGCTGGTTTCATAGAGCTGCTGTCTCCAAGAACCTAGGGGCAATGTCTGCAGTCTGTAACATCTCCACAGGATAGTGATGCAGCATCTGCATCCTCTTAAAATGCTGGTCTCCTCTGAGAAATGCTTTGAAACCTGTGCATGGAATGCACAGTGTAAAAGCTAGGCAGTATTGATGACCAGGATGCCTGCACCTGCAGGCAGGTGGGTGTGCAGGATGGAAGGCAGCAGCACACACACAAAGCTCAGCACCACAGAAGCAGGAGTTAGTATGACTCTGCAGCTCTGCACTGAATGTCATAGCAAAATGGTTATTCCGCACAGAGAGCTCAGGTATCAACACCTATTCAGCACTCCAAGGATAAAGCCTGTGTTTTCACTGATGTGCACAAATTGCCAGGCAATACCTCACAAACAAGAACAGAGAGGCCTGATGTCTCAGCCTGAGGTTAGTTAATCTAACAGCCCAAATATGCCAAATTGGTCCCTGCTGGGCATTTTCTCATGGTTTAAAGATCAGTTTTACATTCCATTGTGCAGCTTAGGAAACCATCTCCATAAACCCAAGTCTGTGAGGCCTCAGAAGGTCTCTTTTCCTTCACATTCAGTCTAAATCTATCTTTTCTTTGCTTCATTCAATTTCTCTTCTTTGGGCCTTGTACACAGCACACAATCATACTGATAGGGGACACTAAAAAGCTTGTAACTTGCCCAACCTTACACAAGTATCCAAGTCACAAGTGCATTTCTCTGCTCCTATTCACACAAGAGCGCCTGCTGTTGCTTTCTGCTGTCGTTAGGTTTGCTCATACCTAAACTAGCATAATTCCACAGGATCCTTAAGAAAGTAAATTATTAACTCATAGATCTTTGATGCTAAAGTGAACACGGCACTCATCCAAAAGGGAAAGCCAGGTGCACCTTCGCTGCTTGGGTGCAAGAGAGGGGTTGAGGTGGTGCGAACTCCTGGAACAAAAGGCTCAGGAAAGCAGATGTGCCAGGCAGCCAGCAACATGCCCCTGGCCCTCACCCAGAAAGGGCCTGCCCGAGGAGAGATGAGCACACGTGTTACAGGGGCTAGCACTACAGGGAGAGGTGTGTAGTAGAAGGGCTGCAGTGGCAAGACTCACTTGAGAAGTGTCATGGTTGAAGATGATGGAGCTGAGGTCCCCACAGTTGTAATGCTTGATAAGGTCTTCTGTTGTATAGGGGATCTGGAAACTGCCTGCTCGGAGGCTCTCCTGCTGCAAGAGAGTCTGATTCAAAGCAAAGACCACCTGAGGGAGGGGGAAAAGGGAGGAAAAGACAGAGTTCCTGGTAAGTTCTCTTTTCATCCCATGAGAAGGTCACAGACACACAGCCACTGGCTGAAGGCTCTCTGAAGCTGCTCCCTGCTCTGAGCCTGCCAGTCTAGACATCACCAACCCTTGCCTCCTACAGCTCCACAGGTACCCACACCTTGGATCCTGGCTTCTCAGAGGGAATGGACTCACCACATTTAACTCAATGAGGTTTTGCCTGTGACTTGATTAATACAAATGCTACAAAGGGGCAGGCTGAAGCATGGGCAATCTTACTCCCTTAGGTGACAGTTTGCCTGACCACCACAGAGCCCCAGGGCCTGACAGGCTCCTATCTTCATATCTCCTCAGCCACCTACCTAAATTAAGCATGGCTTCTCCTTGTTTGCCCTTCCTTCCTCATCTGCAAGAACAGTCACAGGCTTTTGTTTCCTGCATAGTGTCTCCTCTCAGACACCATATCTATTTCAGGCAGGAATGGCTCTCTAGAGTAGTCCAGGGAACATTGGTGGCTGTTGGGGGACACGGGAAGCTGCTCTCCCTGCAGCTGCTCAGTCTCAGTCTCTCCCAGTTGATTGCCTCCACAGGCAGGGTGCTGACAGCATGCCTTCCTCCTCAGCTGACCCCCAGGAATGCAAACATTCCCATCCCCTTTGCCTCAGTGAAAACTATCTGGCTGCTACAGCTCCGACCCCCATAAAAAGAGAAGATCAAAGAAGATCACCCTCCAGATGTGGCTGCCTCCCCACCTCCAGCACAGCAGGGCTCTCCCAAGGTGGTGGCCACAGGGCCTTACCCACACTGGCTGCTGATCCAACTGCCCCCTGCCTTGGGCACTGCACAGCCCATGAGGGTGGCAGCCACTTAAAAGGAGCAAGAGAGCACTTTGGACCAACAGGTATCTCTGAAGCCAAACAGATGCAGAATCTCTGTACCTCTAGCCACTGCAGACAGTGGCCACCAAGCTCCAGAAAGGCAGGAAGCCAAGGAAAGACTTAGGGTGGAATCTCCCCAGGGTCAACATGGAATGCCTGTGGCACCTTTGGTGAGTCATGGAGCTGCATACTCCCCTGTGCAGGGACCAGTCCTCTGCCAGCACCTGGCAAGTAAAACACGACTATCTCTTCTGAGCACATCTCCTCATGCTTACACTCATGCTACCACTGGTTTTCACACCAAAACTGGACAATTGTACCAAGCTTTCTGATTACCTACTGGTTTATGATTTTTAAAGGAAGTAAGCTCAGATATACTGCCTTGAATTTTTTAAAAAATTACTCATGAGAATGTTATTTTGTAAGCTCTGGTTACTCTCTGTGTAATTAACTCTCCTGGATATTTGCCTCAAACACCATCAAAGGCATTCTAGAACTGAATATATTTGCCAACACTATGAAACTCACACATGAGTAAGCATACTCAATGTACTGAGACTATGTGAACCAAATTTTAGGATCACAGAGCAGATGTGGAAACAAACAGGTGCAACTTCCCTCCCCTACCACAACCATCTGTCTTCTACGAAAAGGTGCAAATTCCAACAGACTTGAAATCATGCTGTCCCCACTACAGCTAGACTTACCTCTTTGGATCCAAATCACTGTGTGTGATTTGTAACACAATATGTAACCCAATATGAAAGCACATAACACAGCATTAATTCTGGGAGGGTGAACAGCAAAATTCACCCACATCTCATGTTTGTAAAAAGGCAAAGAATTTTCTTTATTGGTACAAATTGCACTCAACTAAAATAATAACTCTGTGGACAATCGGGCAAGTTACATCTAACTGAGCAGCGGCTATCTTGCAAAGGACCTCTGTTATATTTTAAGGTAAATTGAACCCACCAAACTGAAACCATTTTACATTTGAACAAAGGTTTTCAGGCAGGCTGGGATTTATCATACTCCAAAGTCACAATTTTCCATTTGTTTGGCTTCAGAGAACTCTTAGTGGATGCTAATGGCCAGACAACATTCATTGAGAGACAAGCCAAATTCATCCTGGAAATATGGGACTTCTACAGCCATGACAGCTAGGTCATGCCAGGAAAATGTCATATGTATAATCAGTCCAGCCAAAAGCACTTCCATGAGAATGGCCTATTTTTAAGCTATTGGATACCACCTGCTTGATTATTTACCATTAAAGCAGTGTGTCCTTTTCCAGCCTTCAAAACAAGGACCAGACAGTCCCTGTCCAGACAGAAGTCAGCAAACGTAACAGCCTCCTGAGCTGGTCAGGTAGCACTGCCTCAATGTAGACTAAGCACATCAAAGAGGCTTTGCAATCTTTACTGCTTGATTTTCATCCAAACACAAATCAGTTGAAGGCAACTGAGCCAGTAACTGGCTTCAGTAACTGGCTTCTGGGGAGAAAACACCAGCCTGCTGCGTGTGACATGAGAAAAAAGACGATCTTCCTCTCTCTGCTGTACCCCTGCAGCCTGTACTCCTGCTGTCAATTCCTCTGCTACCCTCAGGTCCATACAGATCTCTTCACTTCTCCCTTGCAATGTGCTTCAGGTGAAATAGATTCAGTCTTGCCTCCAAACAGACTGGGCCTGCATTGCAGCAGCCAGGCCAAGCCTTGGGGGACATTCCTTCCTGTGAACATACAGTAAGCTGCAAAGAGATACATAAATCTGCTCCAAAAGCACGGCATAAATTTCAATGATGACCTACAGTTACGGAGGATCACTGCACACAAAACACAGGAAGAGGCAACTCACCCTCTCTTCCTCCATATCTCCAATCTTACTGCTGACATGACAAAAAACTGCCCCAGTGAGGCAGCTTTGGTAGCTCTATGACCTTTGCTAAGAGTACATTTTTCTGGTTGGAGGTGTGAGAGTTGATACTGGACATATGAAGAAATTTCAGGATGGTAGCAGCTGAAGGCCTTGCCTGCCCAAATGAGAAAGCACAAAAGACCTTTTACAATGAGGTTGTGCATGTTTCATCTCAAAGAATAAAGTGCCCCAGGTCACTGCTCAAGACCCCTACATCCCATCCTGACCACAACTGCCTGGTGACAGAGCATCCAGCAGCCTGCCTTGGACCCCATGGCCATATTGGTGGTTTGTGTAGCAATGCATCAGCTGCTTTTCTTTGTCATGGAGGACTACAGCTGTTCCCTCACAGCTCGCACTTCCCCACAAGCAACATCTTTCCTCACTTAGACCTAGACCTGCATCCTGTCACTGTACATAGTACCTGAGGGGGGGTCACACCAGAACCACCTGAAGTCCCCCACACAGAGAGTGGGCCTCCACCTGGGGGCTGTGAGGGACCAGGGTGGTCTCCACTCCTTTGAGGACAGCAGCAGCAGCTTAAGTCCTTCTGCACCAGAAGCAAGAAAATCAAGATACAACAAAGAGGCAGAAATCAAGAGAGCATCAATGTGCTTGACAATCAGCCCTCCCTAATGAGTTACAGTAATTCATGCATCACACTTTGCACAGCTGGAGTACAGGAAATTCTGTTGACAAAAACACTCTCCACATAAGCTGGTCTGAACAGAATGGTGGCATCTCTGGTGGGGGGATGATGGCACACCTACTGAACACACAGGACTACAATTTGCCATCAGTATAAGTGTACAGCCTCTCAAAGCAATGTGACGGTTCCTCTCAATTCCTCTATCACTCCTACCTTCTTGGAGGAATTGAAAATCCTCAGCAGAAAGAGAAGGGGATGTGGGGGTAAAGGGGCAGGATCTGTTTGTGATATCAGAGGTTGCTTAAAGCTCTACCCTGGTGAGAAGGTTATCTTCAGTAAATAGCAATGGATAAACATTGTCAGGGTCTCAAAAAAAGGTAAGATTCCTGAACCTACTGTTCTTGAAGGATTTAATTTACTGAGATGGGTCTTGCTCAGAAGCTGATAACTCATTATCTGTCATTACTTCTCAAAAAAATCATCAGACTATGTGCAAAGTGATGCTTAAAGAAGACTACAGCCACCAAACTCTGCAAACTGGGTCTCAGTCTTGTTTACCAGATGTGAAAAACTGAAGAAAGTCAACAGAGGAGAAGCAGGTACCACATCAGCAGCTGGTCTGCAATTGTTATATTTGCTAGGCACAAATATTGCTTGCCTTCCGAAACCCCCATTCGATCCTGCAGTCCTTTCATTGCTAGTAATTCCAAGTAGTTAAGAAAACTGAAAATATGGAAAGGTTAAAAACAAATTTTTGATTTTTCTTAGAAATGAAATCTAAGAATTTGGGTAGATCTGAGCTCCTCCAGCAGGTGGTACAAAAAGTATTCCTCTGCCGTGCAGATATCTCTTGCATTACCCTATTTTACTATTTCCAAGATCTTTCCTGTGTTGGAATCCACAGAAATCACTCTACATTCATCCTCCTTGCAAGACTATTCTTCCTCATTTCACACACCCCCTCCAGCAATTCCATCCTACTCTGCTCCATTAAGTGTATTCATACTAGCATCAAAGCATCTTCTGAAAAGATGCATTTGGAGAACAAAAGTAACAAGTTTATTAGAAAGGGATTTTTTTATCTCCCACCTCCCATTTTCACTGTGATCTCTGTTTTCCCCCAACCCTCTCCCTTTTTGTACTGTGGAAAAAATCGATTAAGCTCTCCAGTATACATATTGCTGCAAACCTCATTCTCCTCCTGGAGATTTCTTCAGCTGTCAGGAGACACTTGTCCCCTTTGCTAGCATTGTTGGAGTGGCCTGCTAGGCTAAGGGGGTGGGGAAAAGGGAGTTAGAGCCTGGCAGATGCCTTTTTTGTCAAAGACAAAAGACCCCCTGCCATCCTCTCCACTTTTCAGTACTTTCATCCACATTGGATCAAAGCGCTATTCTGCATATGAAAGGAACCTGGCATTATTTGCCTCAAATTAGCCTATCGCTATCCCGCTAGCCTCCAAGTCTTCCCAACAAAAGCACTCACATCTGTTCCATCATTTGCCTCATCTTCGGTTTTTTTTTTCTTTCTGCTCTC